GGTTTCTGTTGCTATATGCTTCCTAAATTAAGTTAGATGCTTTTGCTTTGTGAACATAGTTCTGAATATGAACATGAAAGATGAATTTTTGATATTCCAAACTACAGGTAACATTAATTTAGCAATATATAACAAGGCAGAAAATTAAACAAAACTGTTCAACTTCCTATTCTTTCTGGACATTGTTGAGGGAAAAATTTTCTACATGCTTCTACATTTTCTGTGTGTGTTGTGAGCCTCTTGCTTTTCTTTGTTCTGGAAACATTTTCCCTTCTGTTTTCACAATGAATAGTGTTGAAGCATGAAAACACATCTCCCTTTGAGGCCAATGGCAGGTTTGTTTATAGCCTTGGAAACAGGGGCGCTCGTCTTCTGGAATTAAAGGCTCGGGTTTCCTAAACACTATGTGTTATCGGGTCCCCTTGGGTTAGTCAGGTTCTCATCACCATGACAACACACAAGTACGAGAGGCAGGGAAGGTTTCTTTTTGGCTTGTGGTCTCAGAAGTTGCAGGCATGATTGATTGGCTGTGTTGTCATAGGCCTCTGGTGAGGCAGACCTCCACAGCAGTGGGACAAATGGCAGAGGAGACAGCTCATCTCACAGCAGAGTGGAAGAGAGAGACAGAGAGACAGAGAGACAGAGAGAGACAGAGAGAGACAGAGAGAGAGAGACAGAGAGAGAGAGCAAGATTGTGTGTGTGTGTGTGTGTGTGTGTGTGAGAGAGAGAGAGAGAGAGAGAGAGAGAGAGAGAGAGAGAGAGGTCTGAGGTAGAATATATCCTTTGAGAAGAGATGCCCAGTGACCCAGGGACTTCCTCCAATAGGTCCTAGCTCCCAAGTCTGTTCTGCTAGGACACGAACACAGGTACAGTGATGTCATGGAGTTGCTAGGACATGAACATGGGCACAATGATGTTCACGGAGTTGCTAGGATATGGACAGAGGTACAGTGATGTTCACGCAGTTGCTAGGATACAGACAGAGTACAGTGATGTTCACGCAGTTGCTAGGATATGGACAGAGGTACAGTGATGTTCATGGAGTTGTTAATGGATGGACATGGGTACAGTGATGTTTGTGGAGCTGCTAAGACAAGAGCACGGGTACAGTGATGATCATAGAGTTGCAAGGACACAGACACAAGTACAGTGATGTTCATCGAGCTGTTGGGTGATGAGTCATAAAGTCTTTGTTTTTCACCCAGGGGTCCCATCGTCTGCCACCATTTCTGAAACGGGAAGACTGATTTGTCAGCTGCAAGTGGTAAAATCTCAGGCTTTCCACGCTCTTGACAAAGACTCCCAATCAAGCTACAAGGTTGGGATAATGTGAGGCAAAGCCATTCCCTAGTGTGTTCAGCCTGTAAGATATCCAATTAACAATGTTCCACTGTTTCTCTCCTGCAAAGTCACAAGATGAGCTATTCTCAGACAATCACATCTTGAGTGTGACTTCTATTTCGAAATGTGTGAAACCTACTGGGTATTAATCATTCTGCTTTTAATATTCTTAACCATGTAGGAAGATAATCTCAAACAAAAGGAGTGATATGGTAAAATTTTAGGATCATCAAGACACATAATACTTGATTTAAAACTAACAGTTTTGGGCGTGTAGGCTTGAATGATCCCCAAGCATAGTTTATGACTGATTTATACTACTATACTTATTCATATTACTACACAACTGTAGTTTTTCTGCACTCACACAACCAGTCTCATCACAATAGGAGATGGTCTTGGGATCATGCTTCCTCCCCACATAGGTTCCCAGGAACAGACAGTGTCATTGATACCATAGAAGACTTCAGAGAGCTGTTATGGCAGTGGGAGATGTTCTATGTCTCCAATATAGTGTCCACAAGTGAAGGGTAGCTAGCTACTCAACACCCCGAATCTGATGAGTTTGAATTGAGAACTGTTATATATGTAAATTTCACACCAACTTTCAGAGCCTGAACAGCAAAGAATGTTAGATGTTTCATTAAAAAAAATCTCAAAATTAAAAACTGTAGTATTTTAGATATATCAGGTTAATTTTTAAAGTTAATTTTGCATTATTTTTCCTCCTTTAACGACCACTAGAGAGTTTAAGCTCCATGTATTGCCCTTACTGAACTATGGCTGTTCTAGAGTCTTGCTACTTGTAGGTCAGCAGCATCTCTGTCAAACATAGGAACAGAGACTCCTCACCCCACCTACACCTACAGAGATAGAACTCAAATCCCAGAAAATCCAATGAACTGTACGAACATGGAGGGTTAAGTAGCAGGGAACTCCCGGGGCCAGGGTTGCCCTTTAACTGTTACATATGGAGACTAGTCAATAAAAAGTAATTTTCTGATAAATAATCATGACTTTTATATACTGTATCTGTGTGTGTGTGTGCCAAAAATCAACTCCTATTCCTCAGGGTGATACTCACCTTGATTTTGGAGATAGGGTTTCTCACTGACCTTGGACTTGCCGGGTAGGCTATGCTGGCCAGCACGCTTCCCCAGCACCAAGATTACAGACGTGAGCCTCTGGGCCTAGTTTTTATACACAGGTTCTCCAAATCTAACCTGGGTCTCAAAGTTGCATAACAAGCAACTTACCAATTGGCCCTCTTTTCAGCCCAATGTCCTATGTCTTAAATATCACACGGGGCACACATTAAAATTGCTTGTTTTTTTTCCCCTTAGATTCCAGTTTAATTGAATATTGTACAGCTTATTTTTCAATGCTATGGAAGACTAAATTCCTGCTCTCAAACCTGCCTTAGTGATTGGAAGCATCACCCTAGCCCCTGACCTGGGAGTGGCCTTGGTCCGGACTCCAATTCCCAGCCTGCCAAGTGCTGACCCCTTCCTGGGGAGGGTCAGGACTACTCCCACAGGGTATTTAGGTGGCCGCCCCGAGAAGGAACACGTGGTTTCTGGGGTTTGCCTGGGCTCCTCTCACCGCCATGCTGTCCCAGTCCACCCAGGCGTGCTGCACTTAATAAATGTGGGCATTTTTAATTCAGTCTAATCTGGTCTGGTTGGAATTATTTTGCGTTGGCGGAGAGATTCTTGGGAATATTCCTAACACTTAGTACTTGGAATTCCAGAGAATCAGGAAAAAGATAAAGTAGACAAAAAGAGAGGTGAAGAGTGGAAATGGGGATGTGGAAGAAAAGGCAGAGCAGCATTATGAGAGGAAGCAGAAAAGAACGAGGAAAAACTGTATAAAACTTAATATGACAGCTATTGAGGCAGTGTCTCACATTGTCCTGGTGGCTCTCGAACTGACCGTGTAGTCAAGGTTGAACTTTTGGTCTTCTTTTTATCATTTATCTTTTTTTTTTTTTTTTTTTTTTTTTTTTGAGAACTCTGGTTGTTCTGGAACTCACTCTTAAGACCAGTCTGGCCTTGAACTCACAGAGATCCTCCTGCTTTGCCTCCTGAGTGTTGAGATTAAAGGCAGGTGCCACCACCACCTGGCAGACTTGGGGTTTTCTTGCTTTCCACATCCCAGGCTGGATGTGTGCCATAGCAGATGTGGGCCAGCTCTCCCAGCTTATTGTTCAACTCTCATCCCAGCCTCTCCCTCTATCTCTGTTTTTTTCCCACCTCCCCTGCTATTGTGCTTCCTTTCCTTTTGTTGTTTTCTGAAGGGATGCCTGGAGCCATGTGAATAAGAGACAGCCCACAAAGAAGACAAGAATGTCATCAAACAAGTCCCCAGCATCCCTCAAGACTTCTCTGAACCTTCATTGAAAGACAACCCTTTCTCAGGCTGGAGAGATGGTTCAGTGGTTAAGAGCACTGTTTGCTTTTCCAGAGGACCCAGGATGGATTCCCAGCACCTACATGGTGGCTAAGAACCATGTATAACTTCAGTTTCAGGGAATCTGAGGCCCTCTTCTGACCTCTGGGGGCAGACACTGCACACATTTAGTGTATAGACATACATGCAGGCAGAACACCTATACACATCAAACAAAAGTTTTTAAAAGTTAAAGATCCCTTTTTCTACTACCAATGTTTTCCCATTAGAGGTATCAAGGTCCTGAAGTGGCAAAAACGCCCATGCTTTGCTTTGGAAGACATTCAGTGTTACGGAACTTTATTATGTGTATTTTAAATGCAAATGTAAATCCTTTCTGGATTTTTTGTAGACTTTTCGTGGAATAATACAGCCGCTTTTTATTTACGCAAGGCAGGAGGCTTTGTCTGTCATTTTACTTAATTTTATCTTCACCAGAATTATTTTTATTCAACATACAGCAACATAGAAAATACTGGATTTTGTCCTGACGTCTTCAAGCAGGCGGCATTGTCCTGAGCTCGGATCCCTCACCCCTCCCCCTCTGCGGCAATTCTTTAAGCACTGCTGTGTCCCTGTTCTGCAGAAAACCAGCACGGAAGGGAAAGCTTGCCTGGCTGTCACAAAAGAAGCTCTGGGAGCCATCCCATTGGGCATGCCTTCAACAGCTCCTGACTCCAAAGCCAGAGGGTCATCAACATCTCTCTCAAGTCATCTCCATAGATGGAAAGTTTGCTTTTAACAGAGAACTGTGGCCTAGGACACATCTGGAAATATAGGTAAGTTCCTGCATTTTTTAAAACTGGCTAAGCATCTAAAATGTATGGGAAAATGTATACTCCATAGATTTGAGAGAGGAGGTGATCGTTTCCTGAAAAGTAGCGTGAGGAGCATATGAACAAGGGTGTGATAATCACATAATAGTGCAACTTCCCACGAAGGGTTCTAGCAATGTATTTTCTCTGCAAAGCGCCACCTAATACTTTATAAATGCGACGACTAACTGAAGAGCTAAATGCTGGGTTAGCTCTGTGTAGACTGAGCTTTGCCAGGTCTCACCCTCCTTGCTCCCCTATAGTACATCCTGGAAAAGCTATCTTTTTATTGGTTGAAGGTGCTGTCAGTCACTTTGCAAAAACAGTCCCACCTCTGCTCTGTTTGCTCTATGAATTACCAGATGTGCTTGGTTTGAGGAGACATACGTTTCTTGATGGGAAGAAAACTCTTGTTTAGTTTTTCACTTCTGTTTTTATGCATGGTGTTTTCAGCCACTTTGGACCAGATACTTGCCTGGAAGAATGTAGGGTGAGTAACAGCCCAGCCTTGAATGCAATGTGTTTGTGAACCTCAGTGCAAGTGTGAAATTAGATGTGTTTGTCATTTCTTTATATAATTACATATCTGCATTTGTTTACGGTTCAAAAATGTATAAGCTTTAAGAATAGACCACACAGCTAACTACAGTATTTATTATACTATACTTTTACTGTAAAAGGCAAGGATTGTTATTCAAAACACTAAGAAACACTGCATTTATGTTAAATATACCACTCCTTAACAGACTCTCAGTTCAGCCCTTAGCTCTGGCTTCTTTTGTGTTTATAAATAAGGGCTCAGTTCACAGTGTCTCCTGCCGCAATTACATGAGTGGAGACCTTGGGAATGTCTGACTCGTGATCCCAAAGACTCTAGCCCACATTGACTGGTTTAAGGTGATGGTTTATGACACCGTATCTGCGATTAACAAGCGCTATTTGTGTTCCCTTGTCTGTTTCTTTCCATACCTTACAAAGGAGGACACAGACTTATTTCTTAAACAGTATGTTTAGAATCTCAACCGCAGCTAATGTCTGTCTTGTTTCCCAATTATTCATGATGTGCCATCGCACCAAAGACATCAGGGAAATTTGTGTGAACGCAGAGCCCAGCAGTAAACAGAGCGAGCAGGCAAAGCATCCCAAAGAGCTCCTAAGTCAGCAGCTGATCACAGCTTTAAGAACAGACATTCGAAATGTTTCCTTCTTCTTCCCCTAAGTCAACTAGTGCTTCTTTCAAGCTTATTTTTAAATCGTACGTGGTTTAAATGTCTTAGGCGGTTAAATGTCACCATGTTTGGTTTGGGACAGGTCTCCTGCAGCGCAAGCTGACCTGAAATTTACCTGTAGAGACAGTGGAGGTCTTGAACTTCTGATCCTCCTCAGGCACATTCCAAATTCTGGGATTACAGGCCATATCTGGCTTTGTAATAACATAGAATCCTGTGTTTTTGTGCTATGCAGCGATTAAATTTAGAGCCTCACGAATGCTAAGTACGTGCTCTATCACTGAGCTACACCCCAGCCTGTAAGACCTAATATTTCTCCACCACGTTTATATGGAGATGAGTGGCTTTTGTATTATACTTGCAAAAATAATGTCAAAAGATGAAAATTCTTGGACTTCCCACAGGGCAGAGAACCCTGATTGCTTTTTGGGCTGACGAGGGAGGGGGACTTGATTGGGGGAGGGGGAGGGAAAGGGGAGGCGGCGGTGGGGAAGAGACAGAAATCTTTAATAAATAAATAAATAAAAAAATGAACCCAAAAAAAGATGAAAATTCATATTCTACCTTCATTAAGGCAAGGATAAACATAATTTTAGCTTTCAGAAGCTTAGATCTTAGAAATTATACAAACAGCTGCATTCTTCACGGAAGCTACAAACCTAGATGTCACTAACAAGGGAAGGAACAAGAAAATGTGCTATATATACACAATGAAATCTTATTTAGCCCCAAAGGAAAAAGCAATTATGACATTTACAGGGAAAGGGAGAGAAGTGTGAAGTGAAGTACCCTTGACTTAGAAGCAGAAATGCAGCTTGTTCTCTCTCCCAGGCACAGCCTAGATCTCGATTTTTAGATCTGTGTGGAAGGAGGGATGAGTGTAAGTCAAGAAAATAGAAAAGGGACCATAAAAGGGAAAAAAAGAGTTCTTAAAGGGAGGGCTGGAGGAGAGTAGAAACATGAGGTGACTGAATACTGTGGATGGGAACTGTTGAGGAAGGAAGAGGAGAAAGAGGGAACAGAGAGGAAAAGAGGGCCAACAAAAACCAATTATGTATGAAAATCCAAGAATGAAACTCAGTGTTTTGTATAGACAACTAAATTTTTTTTAAAAAGATGAAGTAAGTTAAACCGCATAGATGGCCATCCTGATCTAACAATGCATGTATGCTACTTCACTATAAAGGAAACGACAATCCATATTTTGTAAATGTTCTTTCAAACCATAGAGCTGTATTAAAAAATACCTTTATCACTGTAGGGCTATTTCTAATGCAGCAGTTTTAGCATGATGCCCATTTCCTGAGTGTAAAGAGACGTGTTGAGAGTGCAGGGCTTCAGGTGGCTCAGGGGCTAGGAGTGTACTTGCAGTAATAAAGACCCAAGTCTGGATCTCAGCAGAAAAGCCAGACTTGGCCATGAACACCTGTCACTCCAGCCCTGCTATGAGGAGAGAACAGAAGACGACTGAAAAGTTGTGAGCTCCACGGGCAGGGAGACCCCAACCCATCTCAAGGGAGTAAGGCAGAAGGGAAGACAAAGGTGAGCATACCTGGCATTCTCCTCTTCTCCTCTGGCCTGTGCATACACACACACACACACACACACACACACACACACACACGCATACACCTTAGGTGCATATGTAAGCACACACACATACATAAGCATACACTTCGGGTGCATATGTAAACACACACACACACACACGGAAGAGTAATCCTATAAAAGAAAAGAGTGAAAGTCACAATTCTTTCTTTTTGGAATCCTAAATTGGATTTAATCTTCTGTTTGTTTGAGACAGAGCCTCATTGCACAGCCCTGCCTGTCCTGGAGCTCCCTACTTCGTTCAGTCTGACTTTGAACTCACAGAAGTCTACTGCTGTTTCCATTTTGTGTTTTTTGAGACAACGTCTCTTCAGAGATCAGTTGGGCTGGTTAGCCACTGATTCGCTGGGATCCTCTTGTGTCTGCCTACCAAGTGCTAAGATTACAAATGTATGACACCATGTTCCATGGGTTCTAGAAATTGCACTCTGAATACTCACCGAATGAGTCATCTCCCCAGGTCCACAGCCACGTCCAGCTATTTTTGTTAGATTGTATTAATTATACATTCTACGTTTTACTGCAATGTCCAGTCACTTAACAATAGAGTAATTTTATGAAAGGGTCGCAGCACCTTAGCCCAAGCTGGTCTTGAACACACTATGTAGACTCAGAAGATGATGAACTTTTGATCCTTCTGCCTCAGACTCCTGAAGCATTGCAGACCTGGGCTACTCAGCCAAGTAAGGTTTAATTTCCTTACATCAGTATTTCTCCACCTATTCACACACATAGTTGTGGCCGGTTGTTAGTTTTTCCTGTCATTCAGGTACTATGTCATGATATATGTTTTGTTTCGGTGGAAATTATGTTTCTAATAAAGTCGTATTTGGTATGGCTTAGGGCTGTATGCAAAACCTGTCTTTATTGCAATATTTTAAAAAAGAGCAACACTATTGTATGGTTAGAGCAGAGATACATTGGAACCACAGTGAACTTCTTTGTTTACGATAAGCCCTTCATTAACAAATGCATGAGAAAATTTAATTAATAGACCAAAGCCTGAAACCAAGTAGTTTAATGGTATTACAACTTGTTTATTTGTTCAGTAATATACTTTTTATTCAGTAAATATCAAGTAATATTGTCTGCTAACTAAATATTTCCAATTGATTTGATACTTTTATCTTTCCTAGGTAAAATCTACTTCACCATTTTCTATGTTTTTGTTAATGAAGACATTTAAAAATTGGGTATATAAGTTGACTACAGCTCAAACTGAAGAAAAATGTAAAATTGTGTTCATGTGTATGAGAAAGCTCTGTGTCTCCAGGGAGTGTTTTCTGCTTGTTAGTTCTTCTATTGTTTATTCAGTAACGTTTCAGCTCATGCAAGAGAATGTGGAGTTTGCTTAGGTGGAGATGTTTGCATAAGATATACATCACTTTTGTTCAGGAAATGAAATTTCTTAGTGCTCCCAAGTGCACCTAGATGAGATTGGCCTCATAGGACTGATTCATGCCAACCTCACTCACAGGGGACTTCTTATAAACAGAAATGTTTGCTAGGCTGTGTGTGTGGCTTAGTGGTAGAGCAAATGCCTGGCACAAATGAAGCCCTAGGTTCATTGCTCAGAACTGGAAAAAAAAATATTCTCAACTAACAAGTGTACATGAAAGTTCTTAGATCTTTGTTTGCAAAGTCTCAAGTTCCCAACACTACACGTGCCTGTAAATGTCAATATGTGCCTAGACAAATAATATGTGCTAGATCTGTACAGTTAGGTATTTCTTAGCAATGATATTTAGAATTGAGCACTGATACATGCAGTGGTGTACATAAATTCCACAGCCATTGTGTTAAGATGAAAAGAAAGCAAATACTAAAGGTAAATGTTATATGACTGCTAATTTACAATTCTATGAAATGCAAACTCATGCAAAATGAAAGGAAGTCATTGTACTTGCTTGGGATGAAGGTGGAGGATGAAGGTGGAGGATGAAGGTGGAGGATGAAGATGGAGGATGAAGGTGGAGGATGAAGGTGGAGGATGAAGGTGGAGCGATGAAGGTGGGGGATGAAGGTGGAGGGATGAAGGTGGAGGATGAAGGTGGAGGATGAAGGTGGAGGATGAAGGTGGAGGGATGAAGGTGGGGGGATGAAGGTGGAGGATGAAGGTGGGGGGATGAAGATGGAGGGATGAAGGTGGAGGGAACGTTGTAGAAAAGCTTGGAGAACTTTGGTGAGTGGCATTACCATCCTTCAACTCTACTGTGGCTATAATATTGTGGCTATGTGCCAAAACATGAAGGATTCACTACATTACATAGATAGTTGCCTGTACAAAAATTACACTTATGTATAGTTGATAAAAATGAACCGATTGTTGCATCCATGTGCAAGGAGCAAGTAGTAGGTCTTTCCCCAAGTTTGTCATCGGTAGACATTTTCACTAATGTAGAATAATGTGTTTAATTCATAATCAGTTCTATCTACTTATGCATAAAGTAAGATTGACTGTGACTTACTTACTAAGGTTGAAAGATGGGTTTAGGTACAGGGGGAGAATTTTGTGTTTTGGCTTGCCTTAAATAAAAATTTATTTCCATGATGTTTTGGTGCGCATCTTTAATTCCAGCACTTGGATGATCTCTGTGAGTTCAAGACCAGCCTAGTCTACAGAGGCAGTTCCAGGATGGCCAGGGTTACACAGAGAAATCCTGTCTTGAAAAATAAAAAAAAAAGATTTCTTTTATTTTAAATTCTGTGTTTGTGTATGTGAATGCACATCGCCTGTGTGTTAGGACCTGGGGAAGGCAGAGGTGTTAGAATCCTCTGGAGCTAGGGTTCCAGGCAGTTGGGAGCCACTTGAGGAGGGTTCTTGGGTCTTCTGGAAGAGTAATAGATGCTCTCAACCACTGAGCCACTCTTTAATTCCCTGGTCTGCAGGCTTCTATGCTTGGAATATATGACAAAACTTTTCTCTACCTTCCAACTTAGCAAATTTTACTTTAGGAATTTATGTTAAAGAGCGATTCACAGTAGTGTCTGAGAACAGTGCTTCTCAACCTTCCTAATGCTGTGGCCCTTTAACACAGTTCCTCGGGTTTTGGTAACCCCCAGCCATTAAATTATTTCATTGCTACGTTATAATTTTGTAATTTTGCTACTGTTATGAGCTGTAAAGTAAATTTCTGATATGCAGACTGTCTGATATGTGATACCCAAAGGGGTTGAGAACCACAGGTTCAGAACCACTGTCCTAGAATGTTGGAACCCTATAAACAACTGCTATTAGTGAGATTTTCATTACATATGCTAATTTGTAAACAAAAATAGACTTCTTTATCTTAAAGAGACTTCTTTATTTTATAGTTTGGAGAATTCAAGGGCAGGGACCCTGAGTTGGTCAGTTCCGGTAAGCGTCCATGGCTGATGGCAGATGGCGAGGAGGAGGGAACAAGGATACACCCTGAGCAGGGACCGAGAGAGCAGGAGGGACCACTGCTGCTCTCTTTGTTATGATGTTCTCACAAGAACTACTGAGGGTTGTAGGAGAACCACCACTAGGATGTGGAGGAACCACGGCACATTCTCGGGGAGCCAAGAACATCCCAAAAGGCCCAATCCGTAGTCGCAGAGGGCCTTATGTCCCGAAATACTCAATCCATAGTCACAGAGGGCCTTTGGAGGACTTTTTAATTTTTTTTAACACGCTAAACAAAACTTCCCCTCCCTCCCCTCTTCCCAGCCTCCTCACTTCACCTCCACCCCAATCCTCTCCTCCACCACTGTCTCTCTTCAGACAGCCATGGTATATCAAGCAGAAGTGAGAGCAGGCATCTCCTCCTCCACCAAGGTTGGATGAGGCTATCAGGCAGGAGGAACAAGTGTTAATGTATCAGGCAACAGAGTCAGAGATGGTCCCCTGCGCTCACTGTTAGAAGTCTTATGCATTTCTTTCTTGTTTCTTTTCTCTTTTTCCCTTTCTCCCTCCCTCCTTCCCTCCCTCCCTCCCTCCCTCTCTCCCTCCCTCCCTCCCTCTCTCCCTCCCTCTCTCCCTCTCTCTCTCCCTCCTTCCCTCCTTCCCTCCTTCCCTCCCTCCCTCCCTCCTTCCCTTCCTCCCTCCCTCCTTTTTTTGTTGTTGTTTTTGAAACAGGGTCTCTCTATGTAGCCCTGACTGTCCTGGAACTCCCTCTGTAGACCAGGCTGGCCTCAAACTCACTGAGATCCACCTGCCTCCTAAGTGCATATGTCACCACCATCCCAATTTTGTCCTTTTTAAAAATAACAAATATTGAATACTTTGGCTACAATATAGCAACAACACAGGGTGATATAAAATTTCGTTGTAAAAGAATTTACTACATATTATTATGTTTTTGTTATTGATTAAAGCTTGGTGATAGCTCACTGCTTGGTTTGCAGTTTGAGTCTCTATAATATCCAGTAAGGGTCAAAAGTGATTCATAAAAAGAGAAAAATATCATGGATTTCTGTAATTTCTATATTTTGTTTGGAGAGGATGTGTTATATTTGAACCAGAAATCCATCACTTAAAAGTGTTGCATTCGGAGTGGCCACAATGCTCCTGAGCGAGACAGCAAAGCTTCCTGTGAAACCTCCACTATAGATGTTTGCTTTGCGTTTAAAACTCTGCTTCTCCTTTCAGCTCTCAAGCGTCTTCAAGGAAAGAAGTGATTATCCGGAGTGGGAGTGGTAAGACTTGGACTTGCCCTGTGGGTTCCTGGGGGCAGGGATAAAGAAAGGCCATTTTCCGGAGTACAGTATCCTCACTGATATTCTTTCTACCTAGCATCCCTTCTGGAAGAAAGTATTTATTTATTTATTTATTATTTATTATGTAGACAATATTCTGTCTGTATATATACCTGCAGGCCAGAAGAGGGCACCAGACCCCCATTACAGATGGCTGTGAGCCACCATGTGGTTGCTGGGAATTGAACTCAGGACCTTTGGAAAGAGCAGGCAGCACTCTTAACCACTGAGCCATCTCTCCAGACCTGGAAGAAAGCTTTTAAAGTAGGACATTTTAAGTGATCAGCCTAACAGGCTGTCTACCAGTGATTAGCTCGTTAACATCACCCAAATACACTAACAAACGGCTAGCATCGAGCCGTGGTACCCACATCATTACGTATTATTTAACAGGTCAGAAGAAGAGTGGAGCAGAGCCACCAGCCCAGAACATCACAGCAACACCTACCACACAGGTAGGGCTGTTGGGACGTCAACCTTTAACCTACACAACATACTCACTTTTCAATGCTTGCTGAGCTACTATGAACATATCTACAATAGCTATGCTAATTATTAGCATAAGCCCTTTGACCTCTGGGAAGTGGAGAAAAAACATGCAGGTCTTCATTTGATTGCAGTTTCATATTGTCTCCAGAGCATTCTATTCTATCTTTGCCTGCAGGAACTTTATTACTTACTGTTCTCGCTTGACCAGTTTTTCTTCTATTTGCATTTATACTGGAATAATTAGCCCACTCTTATATGTACTGTAAGTAAATATATACTAATATACTAATATATACAGGATATGAATTAACCTTTTTGTCTGTAGGAAGTCTTTGATTCTAAGGACGCACACTTATCTCTTAACTTTTATTTGGTTAATTAGACTTTCAACTACAGTCTGAGCAAAAGCCATTGGAGTGCATTCAATCATCACAATCCTGTTACGTTCTCCAGGGATGGAATTCCCTGCATCCTCTTCTGGACTAAAAGGATCACAGTTAAATTTAAGAATCAGACCTGGCTGGACCTCACAGATGAAGCCCCTGGTCAAAACACAACAGTGGACACTGGCAACTCAAACTGCAATGAAGAAAGTGCCATGTAAGTCAGTCTTTCTGGCTGCGGAAGCCTTAGAGGTACTACTACATAATGAAGAAAAGAAGGGAGGAAGGAAGGAAAAGTTTTGCTTGTGAATATATGCATCGATATTTAGCAGGAAGTTTGATAATGTGCCAGTTGGTTAGCCAATGGCACTAAATTTCACAGTGGACCTCTGATGTCCCCAGTCCCGGATTGTTAGCTGGGCTTAGAACACCAGAAATGGGACCCCCTCCTATGTCCCTACCCCAAACCAAAGGGCAGCTAGTTCTTCACAAAAGCCATTGCATTATTGCACACCGTGCCCAGTGGGTTGGCCTTTTGGTTGCAGGTTCACTGCTGGGTTAGACAAATGAAACCTTTACTTCCTGAGCAGCCTGGAGGACACTTGAGAAGTGAGCCAGCCAGCAGGAGGGCTTCCATTTAGGTTCTAACTTGCTTTTCTGTATCATGCAATGGAGGTGTGGGATGTCTCCTGCAATTTGCTCTTACTCTCTGATTCTGATAGGTAGCCAAGAGCACTGACAAAAGCCTGTATTCTTTAGCGATTTGGAGATAGAAGAAAGAAGAAAGGATACAAAGAAGGGAGAAAAGTTAAGCTGTTTTCAGGCATGGTCTCAACTCCGAATGCGGAGATGAATGTACCCTGGACTTAACCATGAAAGAGCTTAGATCTCACAGCAGGGAGTGCACAATGCACGTCTTCGTGGGTTACTCAGCAAAATTTCTTTATTCAGGACTAATCTTTGCCTCTAGGTGGTGCGTTTGCTCGTGGTGGTGACAGATTCTCAAGTCATAGAACAGGGCCTGTTCCACAGTTTGTGTGTAAGAGGACATTTGGTCAGATTTCAGCGTATCTGTGGGCATCTGAGTGTGAACAGAACACTTAGGTCTGGTTTGAAATAAACAGATGAAGTAAACATCCCTGCTGAGATCAGAGCGCTTTGAAAGATTTTCGCTGCATTTCAGGCATCTGAGAATTTTTGTTTCCTGTTCTTGTCCAGGAAACAAAATCCAAAATGTTCCCTTGTGTTCTACAACCCCCTGTTCAATATCTGTTGGTATAATGGGTGCTTTTGGAAGATTTTCTTTTGCTTTTCTCCTGGCCTGTGAGGATATTTTGTATGAACTGCGATATATTATGCATGTACTCCCGTGTGCATTCCTTTTATACTGTATATGGTTTGACTGGGATTGTTGATTTGTTCTTGAATTCTGTTTCTTGTTTAAAGTTCTTGATGATGGATGGACACGAATATATTGATATATCCATAATAGGGGTATTATACATTCTTCATGTTTAGGTCTTCAGAATGACTGTCTCCTAATAAGAATTTAAGGAATTGTAATAACTACAAGATTTAGGGAATTGTTAAGAATAGATTCACATTTGTCTATCGTTTCAGCACAACTATCAAGGACTATGGGAGAGCTGCCCATACCGCTGAGGGCTCAGGACTTTTTTTTCCCAGGCTCTAATTAATTCCCTACAGGGCTCTTGATTTGTGGTCAGTTGCACGGAGAGATGATGATTGCCTGGGGGTAAGCTTGCTTGCCCAGGGCTGGCTGCGGTTCCCTTTAGCCTGACATTAGGGGGTTGTGGGAAGAATCAGGGCAGCGCAGCTTTTTACTGGATTGTGGAGAATTTAGTCATCGGTGGAAACGATGAGTGGAGAGAAACCAGAGCTGGTCTTGTAGGTCCAGGTCTGCCTTTAGGACGGTGGGCTTGTCACTCGTCAGAGGGAGATGGTGGCAGCTGTTCACTGTAGCCTTTGTGCCCTTACCAGAGGCCAGGGCTGGGGAGGTCTCCATGTCTGGTGTCATCACAGAGGCTCTCCTAGAAGAGCCTCTGGCATAAGGCTGAGTGGGACTAGAAAACTTGCAAGAGTTCAACCGGGGCTCTGAAGTGCCTTTAGAGGGGCCATGTTGCCTCCTTCCTCTTGGCCTTATCTCACAGGATTATGAAAAAGCAGAGGAGGAAATGTTAAGTATAACCCCGGAGCACCTGTCAAGGGCTGTTCACAGCAGTGACCATTTCTTCTTAATATCAGCAAATGCAATGACTACAGTGCTTACTAACCACCTCCTGGAGTGGCCTCAGGTGCTTTTTATGTTTTTCTCTGGTTTTTTTTTTTTTTCTTTCCCCGAGACAGGGTTTCTCTGTAGCTTTGGTGCCTATCCTGGAACTATCTCTTGTAGACCAGGCTGGCCTTGAACTCCCAGAGATCTGCCTGCCTCTGCCTCCCGAGTGCTGGGATTAAGGCGTGCACTACCACCGCCCGGCTCTCTGTAGCTTTTTTGGTTCCTGTCCTGGAACTAGCTCTTGTATACCAGGCTGGCCTCGAACTCACAGAGATCCGCCTGCCTCTGCCTCCCAAGTGCTAGGATTAAAGGCATGCGCCACCACTGCCCGGCGTTTTTCTCTGTTTTTAAGTCATTTTTAAAATTAGTTTTATTTTTTATTTTTGTGATAATGTCTGTGTATGCGCATGTGTGTTCGAGTGCCTGCAGAGGTGACAAGAGGGTATTGGATCCTCCCCGCCACACACACACACACTGCAAGCTGTTGTTAGCCACTCGACTTGGATGCTGGGAACTGAGCTCAGGTCTCTGGAAAGAGCATCAAACGCTCTCAACAGATGAGTCCTCTCTCCAGCCACTTTATGCATAAATGAGATATTGGGTAGGCCCCGGTACAGGTGTATCTTCCTAGTCACCTTCCTAGAAATATTCAGGTGTGAGCGCAGGGTGGGCAGCCCCCACCTCCCTCAGTCCTGCTCAGGTTAGATGCAGGCAGCCTGGGAGCACCTCCCCCACCCCAGAGAGCAGGTCAGGGATGGCTTCTTAGGAAGTGAGGGTTTTAGTTCCAGCTAAGGACCCCTGCTACCGACCCCTGTGAGCTCATCAGACCAATGAGATGCCTCTGCTGTGCCCATGTGCCCTTGTGTATGGAAGAACTGGAGTCCCAGTTGCTAAAAGAACAAATCCAAGTGGAGACATAGCCATGTAAGGTCAAAAGCCCAGATTGGAAAAAGACGAACATGTTTTAGCTTTGGAAACAAAACGTTCAGGGAGAGACTAATTTGGCAGACAGGTTTGCTATGGAAGTCTTTTTAAGTAGGGAAAGCTCTGCAAATAGAATCCAGTCCCAGCATCTGGGCTCATTTTGGGGTTGGGCATTTATAGCGCGAAGAACTCAGGGTCTGTTTCTGTAAGTACAGCGCACAGGCTGAGTTCCTTCGCCACCCTTGCTTTGCGTTGTATCCATTTCTGGGTTCCTGTTGTGTTTGGCGTTCAGCACCTACAAGGTCTTCACTGACAAAATGGTGAAGTAGCTCAGTTGAAATCTGTCCCCATGCCTCACGATCTTTGCTCCAGAGCAAAGTGTGCTTTCGAACTCCACAGGCAACAGCCCTGCTGGGAAAAGTCCCAGAGGGTCGTTTCTAGGAGCTGGCCAGCTGCTTCTCCAGATGATGGGCAGCTTGTGAAGGCTTTGCTCTGCAGTTTGGTTCATCCGTGCAGAGCAAGTTTCTGTGGGACCAGGCTAGAGTCCATTGGAAGAGCTAAAGACATTTTCCTTAGAGTGAACTAGTTGAATTTCTTCCCTCTCTCCCTCCCTCCCTCCGTTTTTCCTTTTCTCTCTTTGTTTTTCCTTTGTTCCTTATGATTTTCCAGACAGTGTTTGACCAAGTAAGCCTGGCTGTCCTTGAACTCAGAGATCCTCCTGCCTCTGCCTCCCAAGTGCTGGGATTAAAGGTGTGGACTGGTGCAGGAGAATTGTCTGTATTCTGTCAATCATGTTTTAAATAAACGCTGATTGGCCGGAAATATAGGCGGGAAAACCAGACAGGAAGTAAAAATGATGTAATGTGAACAGGAAAATTCTGGGAAGGAGGAAGTTGATTTCTCCCACTCCTGCCCAGACCACCAAAGCAGCAGGATATGATCTGCCCCACTAAAAAAGGTACTGAGCCACATGGATAAGATCAAAATAATGGGTTAATATAAGATACAAGAACTAATAAGTAGTCTGACCTAATGGGCCAATCAGCTTATAATATATGGAGACGTATGTGTGATTTTCTTTGGGGCTAAACAGTTGTGGGGTACCGGGCAGGACAAAAACCCAACAACAAGCAAGCAGCCTGACCCTCGTGTTACAGTGGACCATCACACCTGGTGTATTTTATTTCTTTAAAGTGATTTCTTTAGTAATTTGTCAGATAGTCAGAATACCATGAAAGAAGCTTTGAAACTGTGTGCCTGTTTGTTTGTTTGTTTATTTATTTATTTATCTAGTCATTTGTTTTGCTTTTATACCCCACCACAGTTTTCCCTCCTTCCTCTCCTTTGCCCCCCCCCCATTCCTCCTCCTCTATTTCTCTTCGGATACAGATGAGTCTCCCATGAATATGAACTAGCCATGGTCTATCAAGTTGCAGTGAGACTAAGCATCTCCTCTCCTATCGAGGCTGGATGAGGCAATCCGGTAGGAGGAAAGGGTCCCAATAGCAGATAACGAAGGCAGAGACAGACCTTGCTCCCATGGTTAGGAGTCCCACAAGAAGACCAAGGTACACAACTGCAACATATACGCAGAGGGCCCAGGTCAATCCCATGCAGGTTCTCTGGTTGGAGGGTCAGTCTCTGTGAGCCTCTAGAAGCCCAGACTAGTTGATTCCATGGGTTTTCTTGTGGTGTCAATGACCCCTCTGGCTCCTACAATCCTTCCTGCCCCTCTTCCTCAGGATTACCTGAGCTCCACCTAATGTTTGGCTGTGGGTCTCTGCATCTGTTTCTATCAGTTACTGGGTGAAGCCTCTCTGGTGACAGATGGATTAGGCATCAATGTGTGAGTATAGCAAAATATCATTAGGCTTCATTATTTTTTTTTCTTTGGCCAGTCATGGTTGGTCTCTGGGCCACCCAGCCTTTGGGTCATGGCCCTCCAGGCAGTGTCAGGTATGAGCTCCTTCTCTTGGTATGGGTTTCAAGCTGGACCAGTCATTAGTTGGCCACTCCCACAATTTCTGGGCTTTCTTTTTTAAAGTGTTTGCAAACAGGCACATCCAAGGTGTCTAAGTTGATCAAGCTAGGGAACACAAATATTTCCTTTATTAATTCTAGGTATATGATTTATTTGGTGATCATCCTATCCCTTCCCCATAAACAGTATATGATAGAGTTCAGGACAGTCACTGACCATTCTGTGGGAAGCTGTAGAGAAAAATCCTTTTGTAAGAACTACTGTGTGGTTAATACTTTCTGAACAAACTCCCTGGTCTTGGGCTAAAGGATACACTTTGGAGTTAGTAAGAAAGTTATGCCTTGAGGCAATTTGTTTGCATAGCAATGGGCTGGAGAGCCAAAGGGACACATCTTCCTGTTGGAGACATTTATGAGACACAGATCTTCAATGTGCAGCCAGTCATTCGTGTCCTGCATGGTCAGCCAGCTGCTTCCATCCAGTGGCTGATTAAAATCTTCCACTTACCTCCAGGGTAGTAGCCTAGCATCTCCTTTTTCTTCCCAAGGGTAGTCTGTCAACACTGAGGGAACAGATGGTTTTCTGTCCTATTCAGGAGGTGAGGAAAGAACCACCAACTCACATGTAAACTTTGGACTCCTGACTTCCACTACAAACTCCAGATTCCACTATGGGTGGAACGATGTCTGACTCTCACTGTGCTACCCAGGGGGATGAACTGCATAGAGAGGAGAAGCTATACTGTTGTTTCTGAGTGAATAGTTAATCTGTCTTTGACCCAGGAAAGCTAGCATACACCTTCGGAAAAGTGTGCATGAATATAGGTTATCAGAAACTGATAGTTCCGCATGGAAGACAGTTTAGCTATTCTGTTTGATGTTCTATGATATGTAAATGTGTTTATATTTTATGTTTTCATAATGCCCAATAATGCTGAGCATATTTTAAATTTTATTATTATTTTTAACTCTCTGTCTCTCTCTGTCTCTGTCTCTCTCTCTCTCTGTGTCCACTTGTGTGCAGGTGTGTGTATATGTGCAAGTCATAGTGTCTGTGTGGAGGTTAGAGGATACCTTGCAGGAATTGATTCTCTCCTTTCACCGTATTGTCTCCAGACATCAATCTCAGAACTCCAGGCTGTCAGGCCTGGGGAGACAGGTGCCCCCTACCAGCTAAGCCGTTTTGTAGTTTGAGTCATTCCTATTTTGATGAACTCTGTTGTTTCCGTTTTCGTAGGTTATCTTTAAAGTTTGGTGATGCTGAAAATCTCAAGGACATTGACATAAGGTGAGTACTGCTATAGCTTCAGCATGTCAGCCATACTGTGCTCTACTCAATGCACTCACTCCCCTGTGGGTATCAAGGGCCAGGCATTTACCTTTCTGGAGACACATCAGATTCGTAGCTAACTATACTGAAATGTCAGGGGCCGTGTCAGCTGGATTCTGTGGGAACACTTTCTACACATCAAAGTCCATATGTAGCCCAGTCCTCGGAGAATTCAGTGGGTGTGGGTATGAGGGTCCTGTCAGAATGCTTTCTTTCTTATTATTATTAATATTATTGAATTCTTTTTATAACCACTATGGAAACACCTCTACTCCTCGCTCTCTTCACTGAGGGGTTTTTCACTGACTGAGCAGGAGCACATGAACTGAGAACCCAGAACAAAGACTAATACTGAATGGAAGCCAAAAGGCTTCAGGCCCTGATTGATTCTGGTGATTTCATTGCATCATCTTTTAAGAATCACACAATTAGATGACAGTGATGAGATCTTCGCTGTCCCAGCTCCTGAGCAGACATTCAATGTGTCTCCATTTTCCTCTGCCTGTGACAGAAGGCCGCATCTACTGCCAATGTCTTATTTTAGCAGTTAGTAATCAACAAATTTGAAGGCCGACCATTTTTTTCTTGTGTCAGGTGGCACATCCCTTTAATCCCAGCAATCTGGAGGTAGAGGCAGGCAGATCTCTGTCAGCTTGGGTAAACATAGTGAGCTCTAGACCAACCAACACAACATAATATGACCTTGTTTCAAATTGTTTTACTTCCCATAAAAACATGTCAATAATTTCCCCAGAAGTTGGTAATCAAGAAATCTGAAGGGAAAGGCACACTTTTTTTTTCCCCTCAAAAATTCATTGTGTGGCTTGGGAGATGGCTCAGTCAATGCAGGCAGAAGGACCTGAGTTTGATCCCTAAAACCATGTTAAAAGCCTGGGTGTGGTGCTATTGCTTGTACCCCTGGTACTGAGAAGGTGGGGACAGGTAGCCATATAGGCCAGTGAGAGACCCTGTCTCAAAAGAAAAAAGGAGAAAAGGTGGGTAGTGCCTGACAGACAACACATACACACACACACACACACACACACACACACACACACACACAGAGCTTCCCTTCCTAGAGGATGAACTTTTTAGCCGAGTTGAGCACTTTTGCCTTCAGCTGTAACAAGTGGGGTGTGTCCCGCAGGCTCTCTCCTGCACTGTGTGCTCTGTGGTGCTCTGGCTATGTGGGAATATTTATGAGTCTCCAATAAAAGGTTCAGTAGGCAGACTTGCTTGAGAATGACCACACGACATAACTTTATTTATTCAAACACCTGAAAAACTGGAAAATACCTGTGGAAATCGTCATCGTTGCCATAGTCATCATCACCTAGGATGAAGGTGTGTGGCTTACGTGTTCATTCTCCATGTCTACTCAACTTGCCCCTCTGCCCATTCTCTCTCCCTAAACTCCTTTCTGGCCTAAGAAAGCTGTGCTGGCTAGTTTTTGTTGACACAGAGCGAGGCATCCTTGAGCAAGAGGGAGTCACAGCTGAGAAAACGCCTTTTTCTTAAGACTGGCCTGTGCGCAAGGTTATTGGGTATTTTTTGATTGATGTGGGAGGGCCCAGCCCATTGTGGGAGGTGCCACTTCTAAGCAGGTGGTCCTGGGTTCATTCACTAAGAGAGCAGTCTGAGCAAGACCGCACTCCTCCATGGCATCTGCATCAGCTCCTGTCACCAGGTTCCTGCTTTGTTGAGTTCCTGCCTTGATTTACCTCAGTGATGATGGTTACTCGTGAAGTTACTTCCTCAAGGTGATTTAGGTCATGGTGCTTATATCACAGCAATGGAAAACCAAACCATGATGGATTAAAGTTTGGCCTTACCATGTACAGGCCACACCCTAGCAGCCCACAGCCCTTTCCCCTAGACGTTGAAGACTATTCTTTTTTTTTTATTTATTTATTAAAGATTTCTGCCTCCTCCCCGCCACCGCCTTCCATTTCCCTCCCCCTTCCCCAATCAAGTCCCCCTCCCTCATCAGCCCAAAGAGCAATCAGGGTTCCCTGCCTGTGGGAAGTCCAAGGACCACCCACCTCCATCCAGGTTGAAGACTATTCTTAAACTGACTGATCCTGTAAAATTTGCTCTTCTAGCAAGCCAGTGGGTCATAAGACTAACTGCTGTTTCTGCTTTTGTAATCAAACTTTCATGCTCTGCTCAGAAAGGGGACAAGGACAAGGGCAAGACACATGTTAAAGTTAGAGCCTGCCAGCACACAGGCAGGCCGCTTGTCATCTTTCAGGTTCGTCTTTGTGAGCCTTGGGCTGATATGACCGGGGGTCTGCATCTCGTGATGGGTCTCAGCTGCAGTCCTGGCCCCACAGATGCCAGGACCTAGATAAAAAGATTCTTCTTAGTAGAATGTATTTAAGGTCATGATCACTCTCTGAGTGACCCCCAACCCATAACATGACCTCTGCCTTCTGTCCTTGTCACGGAAGAGCGTGAGCACCCCAGCCTCCTCTACTCTAAGTGAGGCTGCTCAGACGTGTCCTTTTGGCCTTAGCGACCAGCTCTTCATTTGGCTCTTCCCACTATGGAAACATGCTCAACCCCTCACTCCCACCCCGCGGCCTCCTGTCCCATCTACTGCCGTTGCTCTTTTCTCCATTCTATAGACCCGAGTGACTGAACCCTTACTATAGACCCGAGTGACTGAACCCTTACTATAGACCCGAGTGACTGAACCCTTACTATAGACCCGAGTGACTGAACCCTTACGTTCATATCTTTGTCTCAGGATCTGCTTCTACAGGAACGCAGAATCAGATAATGAAAACAGAAAAATCAGAAATATGGAGTACATCTTATTTATGCTTTAATAAATAAAGCTTGCCTAAAGATCAGAAGGGCAAAGCTAAGCCACTAGAGGTCAGGCAGTGGTAGCACACCTTTAATCCCAGGATTTGGGAGATAGAGGCAGAGGGATCTCTGTGAGTTCAAGACCACCCTGGGCTACAAAAGATCAATGCTGAAATGAATCCAGGTGGTGGTGGCTCAAACCTTTAATCCCAGTACTAGAGAGGAATATGAAATGGGAGGAGAAAGAGGCTCGCTCGGGCTGCTTAGTCTGCATTCTTACTTTAGTAGAGGTAAGACTGCTCTAGTTGCTTGGCTGCTTTGCTTTTCTGGTTTTTGGGTTAAACCCCAATATCTAACTCTGGGTTTTTATTATTTGTGCTACCGTGGAGCTATAAGAATGAGAAAATAAGCCAAGCAGTGTAGACAAATACCTTTCTTTAATCCCAGCATTCGGGAGGCAGAGGCAGGGCATGAGTTTGAGGCCAGCCTGGTCTAGATGAAGTTTCAGATAGCCAGGGCTACTTAGAGAAACCCTGTCTAGAAAAACAAAACAAAACAAAACAAAACAAAACAAAACAACAACAACAACAACAACAAAAACAAACAGATAAGAGACAAGAAAAGAATAAGAAAATAAGAGTGACTGATAGTCCACCCGTGTTTGCAGTTACTACTGTTTTAAGCCCATCGTTCCTGACTTTGGTTCTGTGTAATATTTCATCTTTAAAAAATAAAAGACAAGTATCACGAGCTATATCCACTATATGTTTTCGTGATTGGAGAATGTTCCTCGTTAAAGCTGTGAGCAGGGAGGGTGCTGATCTCAGGGAGCTTCTGAAAGGCAGCTAAACACATCACTCTGAGAGAAACTGGGCAAGGTATTTTGTTCCTCTGGGCTCAGTTTCTCGTCGGTGACGCTAGGCTAGCATTATTGTCTGTCTCATAGTGCGGTAGTAAGCTTCAGGAAATACACGTGAGTAACAAGTGCGGCTGGCCCAGAAGAAAGCTATTACTATTATTTTATGACAATTTAATTCTTTGTTAATATACATCTATGTTTTCTTTTATCATTTTTGTGGCAATAATAAACCCTTTGATTCTTAGAAAAGACCCCCCTCCCACACACACACCTTTGACTTTTGTTGCTTTTTCCTCTTGGCGATCGCTAACAGGCCAAAGCTAAGCCTCTCCCTGGTTTGATTCCACAGCCTGACAAAAGAGGGCGCCATTGTACTGTCCACAGGTGACTCAGCCTGCGACAGTAAAAGGGCTGCGGGCTAACACTAATGTACAATCTTTTCCAGGTTCACCCTAACCAATTACAACAAGCTGTCCAGCCAGAGCTGGTTTAGTTTACAACGGGTCGAGATCATCTTCAACAATTCGGTGCAAGCAGCTTTTAATGCAACTGGCATTTATGCTCTGTCAAGTTACTCGTACCGCTGCCAACGAGTCAGCAGTCTGCGCAGAAACGATGCTCTGCAGTTGCTGGGCGGCTCCGACAATGTGACAAGCCTGTGGGAGGTCACGTTTATTGATTTCCAGGTAATAAGTTAAAACATGTATGTGGTCGACACGCCTGCCTGCATACTTGGTGCCAAAGAAACAGTGTTTGTTGAAGTCACATAAAACAGGAGTCTAAAGGAAGAGCCTTTAAGGCAGCGAGGGTTTATTCTGGGTCTTCTGAGGTGTGAAATGGAGTCCTCCAGGGATGGATTTTCACGTTCCTGTTTACCCAGTCACCAGGTACTTATCTAAACCCTAGGGCAGCTGTGGCTGAAGCCTGATGACTGACACTTCCGGGGCCCAAAGGCTCTGTGCGCAGAGGCACCACGGGGGCAGTTTCTTTATTCACTTCTGAGACCGAAGCAGTGATCTTATCTGGGCGGATAAGAAGTACAGCTGCAGCGTGAAAGACAGCGTTGACAGTTAGCATGGGAATGGAGTCACCAACCAGTCGAAATTAGCCCAGAGGATCTTGAAAGCCTTGGGAGAAAGACATGGGAACATGACAGGCGCTTTTGTACCCCAGCATCCCAGAATCCTCTCAGGCTGAAGGACAAAGTCCCCCTATCTTGTTTACCTGTGGCCAGTGCGTACTCCCTGAGGTGGCAGGCTCGGCATTGCCTGTCCCTTATAAGGGCTTGTTCCCACGTTATCCACAAAGCCTGGGTATACATATTCATGTGCATTCCTCTCGGCTTGGGGGAGGTACGGTGTTGACACAAGGCTAAGGGGAAGGGAAGAGCATGCAGTCTGGAGGGAGGCAAACCTGATTTGAAAAATCACTCCTCTGCTTCACGGTTAAGTTATCCTTGCCAGTTTCTGACCTATCTTCATCAATGTAGAAAGTCCATGCATGGCCTCGTACGTGTGAAGCAGGACCACTCCAGGCATGGAATAGCAATGCCACTCATGCCAACACATGCTAATGGTTAAGACAATACATGTTATGTTATGTATATAGTGTGACAAAAATAACAAGACAAAACACATGGGCAAAGACCAGGGGTGGGGATTTTGAATGGAAGGAAAGGGACAGAGTCTGAAACCACCAGTGAGACTGGTTCACAAGCCCACAGGTTAACCTCTCTGCTGGCTGGATGAGGCACAGGAATGTCCGTTCTGAGTTTCAGAGCCGCAGTGTAAGGAAATAACACAGTGTATATTCACAGGGCCCCCCAACACTCCAGTGTGTATTCACAGGGCCCCCCAACACTCCAGTGTGTATTCACAGGGCCCCAACACTCCAGTGTGTATTCACAGGGCCCCCAACACTCCAGAGACCTTGCTGTGCAGAGCACAGTCCTCCTCTGGGTTGTGCACCGTGTCTGCATGACAGCAGTCTCCCCACAGGAAACGTATATCCTAGTCTTGTGGAAGCACCTGGAATGTAAACAGAGGCAAGAATGCAAGCTCAGGCCAGGGGAAAGGAGTGTTCACACTGCAGGTTTGCTGGTCTTTCTTACAGAATAAACATCTATCCCTCAGCTGACCCTAATCCCTCCCGTGGGTACCAAATCCATGCATGTTCAAGTCCCTTATGGAAAATGGTACGGTATTTGAGTGTAACTCAAGTAAAACCTTCAATGGTAGTAATAAGAGGAGCAGAGACAGAAGACACCAGAAGCCTTGGAGTTATCAACTGAGTATGAGGATGAAATCAGGCTTCCCAGATATAAATTTTATCACCACACATTTTTCTGCCATGTGACTCCAGGTGAGTTACTGAACTTTGCTGAGCCCCAGTCTCAAGTCATAAAACAGTCCCTTGCTCAGAGCCTGCCATGAAGACTAAACTAGGGAAGGAGTAGTACCTGGCATGCACAAGGTCTTCACATGTGTCCTTTACTGTCTCAGCACCCATGATCTCCCTCAGAGACGCCTTCCAACCTCTTCCTGTCAGTGACTTCAGAGGCTGCACTTCTCAAACCCAGAGCTTGCTTTGAGTTGGAGACGCAGCAGTGTCATTTAATATGAGCTCAAACAGTCCTAAAAACCAGATTACAAGAAGTTTTATCTCAGAGTCTTGAATTGCAGGAGGCTTGCTTGCCACAATTTATCCATCTCAGAGTGGTTGGTGGCTTTTGCTTTCAAATCAAGTTTCAAGCCAGGGATGATGGCTCCTGTCTGCAGTCCCAGAACCCATGAGGCAGAAGCTGCAGAATCCAGTGAGCTTGGGGTCAGTCAGGCTGTTCTGTGAGCCCTTAAACACAATTTCACTGTTCCAGTCAGCAGAATCATCATCATCAGAGCAAGTGCTTAAATCATTCTAGTTTGGTGGTGGTATGTGCCCTAGTCCCCTTTTCCATTGCCTGGTAAAATACACCCCCTCTCAAATCCATTTTGGGCTCACAGCTCCAGGTTCCAGCCCATCACTTCAGAAGTCACCACAGTGGAAACGTGAGGCAGCCAGCCATTTCCACAGTCAAGAGCATAGCTGCACGCACGCCACTCAGCTCACACATCTCACGTTCTCATAGTCTGCGACCTAAACCTAGGGAATGGTGCCATCCACGGTGGACTGGATCTCAACACAACAATTTACATAATTCAGATGATCCTGCCTTACAGACCTACCCACAGGGAATCTGATATACACATTCCCTCCCTGACACTCTTCTCCTGGGTGGTTCCAGATTAAGGGGCTGGCAGTTAAAAACTAACCACATTATACAAAATTTGGTTAACTGGGCCCAGAATCTCCAGCCTGATGAGAAATGATTCTTAGATGGAAGGCATAGGTTACACCTGATCTTCTCTTTCTCTGCACAGATCCAAGGCTTCTCCATCAAGGGGGCACAGTTTGCCCAGGCCCGAGACTGTGGCTCTTCATTCTCCCCTGCTGTTCTCATTGGCCTGGCCATGTCTCTGATTCTGTTGCTGGTGCTGGCCTATGCCCTGCACATGCTCATCTACCTGCGTTATCTGGACCGTCACTACGAGTTCATCACGTCTCCTGTGCACTTCCCTCCTCGAAGCGAGCTAGACACAGGGGAGGAGAAGGAGCTGCTGGGGAGCCAGGGAGCTGAGTGCTATGAGCTGAGGAGCCAACAGATCTGCAAAATCTATATTTAGCAGCCTGAATCTCTGTCTCCTCACCAGGGCCACACTCAGGTCTGAAAGACATTGTTCTCTTCTGTGCTGTCTGACTTGTTTGATTAAAAAAGAAAGAAAAAAAGGAAATACCTTGGCAATGAGCTGATTTTTAGCATCTATTGGTTTTGCTAGTTAGATCTTGGGCACTACAAAACTATCTCCAGGGACTCCACAGAGATCCCACAGGGATAAGCAGGATCGATGCCTTGGGCATGACAAAGAAAGAAAAAGAAAGGATGGGTTTACATCAACCTGACACAAGCTGTAGTCACTGGGAGGAGGAATGTCTACTGAGAAAATGTCTTCATAAGAGTGAGCTGTAGGCAAGCTGGTAGAACATTTTCTTAGTGACTGATGGGAGAGGGCCCATTCCATTGTGGGCAATGCCTTCCCTGGGCTGATGGTCCTGGGTTCTGTAAGAGAGAATGTAAACAGAGACTCTGCTTTGGTTTCCTGGCTGCCCAGACCCAAATAAACACACAGAAACTATATTAGTTACAACACTATTTGGTCAATGGTTCAGGCATATTTGTAGCTAGCTCTTACATCTTAAATTAGCCCATTTCTATTATCTGTGTATCACCATGAGGCTGTGGCTTACCCATAAGGTTCTGGCATCTTTCTCCTTCAGCAGCTACATGGCACCTGCCTGACTCTGCCTTCTTTCTCCCAGTATTCAGTTTTCTTTTCCTGCCTAACTCTATTCTGCCTGGCCATAGGCCAAAGGAGCTTATTTATTAACCAATGCTAATAAAGCATATTCATAGCGAACAGGGGCATTCCCATGACACAAGAAGACTGGGAAAGCCATGGTGAGCAAGCTAGTATATAGCACCCTTCCATGGCTTCTGCATCAGTTTCTGCCTCTAAGTCCTGGGACCTGTTTCAGTTCCTGTCCTGACTTCCTTTAGTAATGAACAGTGATGTAGAATCATAAGCCAAATAAACCCTTTCCTGCCCATGTTGCTTTGGTCATGGTGCTTCGTCACAGCAATAGAAACCCTGACAAAACCACTAGGGAAGGAGAGAGAGGCGGCAGGAGAAGTTCAGATCTTTAAGTGTATTATGACAGTTTACATCCCCCCTCAGGAATTATATTGTAGTTTCATTTTAAAAAGCAGTCTTCCTTTTCTTTCTTTCCTAGAATTGCTTCTGGAAAGCTGCTGTCCATCTGTTACTCTTAAACTGTATTGTCAAGGGCTTTGCCATTCAGAAGCAGCACGGCCTCCATTGTGTGGTAGGGGCGACAATCATGCCCTTTCCGTCTGGCTATGAGCCCGGGTTGGCCCCATTTGTGGGCAGCAGACTTCTGCAGGCTGTCATGTGCATCCCTTCAGTAGCAGATGATGCACAGTGTTCACGCTGTTTGAATGCTGCAGAACGAGCCCCAGACATCCATGGGAACTGTCTTCTGAACACGCTTAGTGGCCATTTGGAGTCACCACCATGTTCTTACTCCCATGTTCCCCTCATAGAGTCCCCTGCAATCTCTTTCAGTTCTTAGACAAATTGAACATTGAAGACTGGTTCATTATCCATCTCTCCAAAGCAGGAAGGTGCTTTCCTCGCGACAGAGCTGACATTGCATTTTCCTCTCCAGACTGTGCACATGACCTAGGCTTGCCCTCCCACCAAACTCGGAGTGCACCAAAGAAATGGCATTTTGGAGGCTGTGGTGATGGGTCCGCTCTCCAGGGCCCATTTAGACGAGGAGCAGTGGGTGATGATACAACCATCTGCTGAACATTTCTTTTGGTTGATGGTTTTCCTGCAGAATTTTACAAGATTTTCAAAGAAGACTTAATGTTAATTAATATCCCTCAAACTATTCCACAATATAGAATCATAAAGAACATTGTCCCAATAAAATGACACAATTACCCTGATATTCAAATCACATAAAGACCCAAACAAAGAATTACAGAACAATTTCCCTTATGAACCTGGATGCAAATATTCTCAATAAAATACTTGCAAACTGAATCCAAGAACACATCAGACAGATCACCCACCATAATCATGCTTTATCTTAGAGATGCAGGGATGATTCAACATATGGAAATCAGTAAATATGATCCTGGAGAGTTTAGGGATATAACAAAATAAAAGCAGTTTACATCAAACCCACAACCAACATCAAGTTAAATGGAGAGAAATTCAAAGAAATTCCACTAAAATAAAGAGCAAGACCAAACTGTCCACTCTCTCTACATCTATTCAATATAGTATTTGTTAGAGTAGTAAGACAACTGAAGGAGATCGAAAGGAAAGGAGAAGCCAAAGTATCCCCATTTGCAGATGATATAGTAGTACACATAAGTGACTAAAAATTCCACTGTGAAACTCTGGCAGCTGATAAACACTTTTAGCAAAGTAGCTGGTTACAAAAGTAGCTCAGAAAAGTCAGTGGCCTTCCTACATACAATGCAAAATGGACCGAGAAGGAAATCAGGGAACAAGACCTTTCACAATCGCCTTGAATAACATAAAATATCGTGTGGTAAATCTAACCAAGCAAGTGAAAGACTTGTATGATAAAAACCTTAAGACATTGAAGAATGAAACTAAAGAAGAGATCAAAAGATGGAAATATCTCCTCCCATGCTCATGTATCAATAGGCTACATAACAGCATCAATAAAATAATATGTATCAAGGATTAAAGTGGCTATCTTACAAAAAGCAATCTATAATTTCAAAACAATCCTCATCAAAATTCCAACACGATTCTTCACAGATATTGAAAGGACAATTTTCTGCTTCATATGGAAACAAACAAACAAGTCAGTTTAGCTAAAACAATCCTGAGTAATAATAATAAAAACAACTGAAGTGTCATCATTCCTGATTTTAAGTTGATTTCCAGAGCTATAGTAATAAAAATAGCATGATATCACACAGAAACCAACAAGTTGATCAATGGAATAAAAATGAAAATTCAGACATAAATCCACATACCTATGTACATCTGATTTTTGACAAAGCAGCCAAAGATATATATTGGATAAAAATGCAGAATCTTCAGCAAATGGGGCTGGTTGAACTGGATGTCTGTATATAGAGGAATCAAAATAGATTCATACTAATTACCCTGCACAAATATTAACTCCAAATGGATCAAAGACCTCAACATAAAACCAGATACACTGAACCAGAAAGAAGAGAGAGTGGGGGAATAGCCCTGAACTCATTGTTTCTGAACGGATCACGAATAGCGCAGACACTAATATCAACAATTAATAAATGGAACCTTAGGAAACTGAGAAGCTTCTGTAAGGCAAAGGACACTGTCATTTGGACAAAACAGCAACCTACACAACGGGAAAAGAATTTTTACAAGCTACACATCTGATAGAGGGGCAATATACAAAACATACAAAGACCCAGGATATCAAGAAAACAAATAACCCAATTTAAAAAATGGGGTGCATACATAAATGAACTATTTTCAAAAGAAACTCAAAGGCTGCGAGACACTTAAAGAAATGGTAGCATCCTTAATCACCAGGGAAATGCAAATCAAAACCTCTTTAAGATTTCATCTTACACCTATAAGAGTGGCTAAGATCAATAAAACAAGTGACAGCTCAAGGTGGTAAGGATTGGGGTAAGAAAGCACTCATCCATTGTGGATGAGACTGCCAACTTGTTTATCCACTATGAAAATCAGTGTGGTGTTCCCCAGGGAAATGGGAACAGATCTACCTCAAAATATGACTATACTACTCTTGGGCATATACCCAAAGGGTACTTCATCCTACAAGAGAGACATTTGCTCAACCATGTTCATTGTTGCTCTATTCATATAGCCAAAAATTTGAAAAGACATAGATGACCATCAGCAAATGAATGAATAAAGAAAATGTGGTACATTCACACAATGGAGTATTGTTTAGCTCTTTAAAAATGAAATAATGAAATTTGTGGGAAAATGGATGGAACTAGAAAAAAGACATTCTGAGTAAGGTTAACCCAGACCCAGAAAGCTAAACCTGGCATGTATTTTTATATACATGAATATTAGCTATTAAGTCAATGATAAGCAAGCTATAATCTTTAGAACCATAGTTGTTAGGTATAGAGAAAAGACTAAGGAGAACAGATAAATCTCCCTAGGAAACAGACATAGGGATCGATGGACTTGGAGGACTAAGCAGGGAGAAAGAGGAAAAAGAGGGATGAGGGAGAGAATATGGGGAGGGAGAGCTAAAACTAAGGGTTATTTCAGGGGTAGTGTGGAAGTATGACAAAGCAAAAGCTTCCTAAAATATATATGTGTGTGTGTGTGTGTGTGTGTGTGTGTGTGTGTGTGTATGAAAGTGATCTAAACTAAACTGACATATAATGGGGGAGACAGAGCCCCAAATGGACATTTCTGTCACCAAACAAAGCTTCCAGTACTGGAACTGAATTACATCTAATTGAGTTGTTGACCAAAGGGGTCCCATGGAACCCCCCAGAACCCCAACTGTTGCCAAGACTATAGGTTGCTCTCCACAGTTGATGGTATGGCCATAATGCTGACAATAACACTTTGAACATGTATAAGCCAAGCTGGTGTATACCTAGAACCTTCATGGGCTAGTGTCTTGGTACAGGTTCTCTGCACACTACCAAAGGAGAAGTGTAAACACCAAGCTAGCACAAACCCTTTGATCTATAATGGTGAACTCTCTGCAAGATATGGTGGCACAAGGCTTGTGGGAATAACCAACCAACATCTGATTGACACATATTCTCCACAGAGGAAACCTGTACTGGATGCTGCTTAGGTGACCAAGAACCCGAGACTAGACACCCCTGTGACCTAGATCTAGGGATCTAACCAATATTGCTACTCTACTAAAGGATGTAGTAATAAAAGGACTCCAAATAGCTTTCTGCTGTTCTCATCGATCAGTGCCTTGCTCAGCCATCATCAAAGCAGCTTCCTCCTAGAGCAGATGGGAATATAGAGACCCATAGGCAAACGCTACCCAG